CATTGCACTGACAGTCAAAAAATCTGTTGAAAAGTTGAACCTTTTTTCTTTCTCTCAAATGCACCAGTCGAATCTACTTGGTGCTAAGGCCATACACGAATCATTACAGATTGGGCCAGCTTTTTTTTTTGACGAAGTCACTACATTTATCGGCAGTTTCGTTAGCATTTTCCCGATCAGTCACGCATTTCTTTTTTCAGCAACTCTATGGACGATCACCTTCTAAAAATGCTACGCTTATCATGACTGTAAAAATCGTTTCTGAGGAGGTGTAAAGGGTTTTTTCCCTCAAACAAAAGCCTTGACACGATGAGGGCAACTATTCGACCAGTCTTGGTCGAACCCTAGTTTGATTAGCGTTTTCAACAGTAGTGAGAGTTTTAAGTACCGTGAAACCACTTCACTTCGAAAGTATCCCAACCGCAGAAAACAGATGACAGCTCTCTCTGGCAAAGAGGGAGGACAATACCCACGCTCTGTGTAGGAGCTGTGTTTCTAGTTATTGTCAGAGCTAATTGTAAGGGTTTCTGTAATATGCAGCTCAACGAAATTCGTAATACAGTGTGTAATTCACGTAAAATACAGTTGGGAACGTTTTTTCTCCCGCTTTATGGAAATCCGTTAATGTAATTTGTTGAATAGTCTGTACTGAATCCAGAATTTGCTTCAACAATGGTTCGTAAAACATTCAGAAAAATCGGTTGCGATGATGGGCAGGACTAGTTCAGCTGCATTTATACACTGCTAATTTCTCGATTTGTACAATTTCACATCGTCCTGTGAAGGGCTGTGTACACACCCACAGACAACAGCGGAATTGGTCTACACTTATTCGGCTATGATGCTGATCGCACTCGTTTTCATCATCTTTGTAAGTGATCTTTCTTATTAGAATGAATCTTTCAGAATTTTATTTCTTATTTTTCAATCATTTATTGCTGCCTCAAGAGGGTCAAGATACTGTTGCCGTTAATAAAGAGTTCTGGGAGTATTTGTTACCCCTTGGATCTCCTGGTTAATAACTGGCTCCTGTACTTCCNGATGCTGATCGCACTCGTTTTCATCATCTTTGTAAGTGATCTTTCTTATTAGAATGAATCCTTCAGAATTTTATTTCTTATTTTTCACTCATTTATTGCTGCCTCAAGTGGGTCAAGATACTGCTGCCGTTAATAAAGAGTTCTGGGAGTATTTGTTACCACTTGGATCTCCTGGTTAATAACTGGCTCCTGTACTTCCTGCTCGGAACGCAAGCTTGACCTTCCTCTACTTTCTTGTGGACAAATGATTCATTTCTGAGCACGAAGTTGTCGAAAACTCTCCAATTAGGTTAATCTCTCAATCAGGGTACTAGAAAGTCGGACTCGGAACGCGCTTATGCTTAAAAGCCTCCGTCAAAGTATCGCCCTTAGTTTTGGGGAAAGCCATCAGCGCACCTAAACGGATAAAGAGAGTCCTTCCCTTTTTGGACGTGCTGGCGCTAACACCATTGTGCAGGTGAGCAACTTGGTTATTCAACCAAAGCCTTGAATGATAATTAGCAATGTAGCCATTTGATGACAGCATCACTGTCATATCCGTTGTCCTTCCTATGGATTCTCAGATTAGGGGTGGCCGATCAAGTTTTGGCCAACAAGTATCGAAATATTAGGTTGATGCATAATTATTGCGGATTTTTTCACCAAATTTTATTTAACGAAACGATCAAAATACTGAACAAAAACATGTTCGAATAATTACTTCGGAACCTATCCACCATCTACGTCAAGCACTGCTTCCTCCTTGACTAAATAATCCGATTCCAAAAGTGAAGAAGTTGTGATCCTTTTGGGCGATCCACGCCCTGACATCTGCCATAGGTCATCCAAATCGACGTAACTTCTATTCCCTAGCCATTTTTTCAGCGAACGGTTCACTAGATAATCCATAGAAGTTTCTGCTGGTGAATATGGCAGATTTAGGAGCAGATTCTATTTCTTGGTTGGCTTCGGCTGGTTGTTCCAGAGCCGAAAAGTTACTGAGATCGCGGAATGACTCTGCCACCGTCCAACCTATCTCAAAGTAGTAGAGCCTAATTTCGCGAATATGCGAATGGTTTTCTAAGTATATTTTGTAGAGGAAATCAAGCAAATCACTTCTAAGAAAAAAATCTAATTCAATATTAAGTCCTATCGAGAGAAAAAAAGCCGAGAAAAGTCAGGAATAATTATGCATCAACTTAGTAGAAAGATTAGATGTCCCCTCTTTGAGTCCAACCTTGTAAAGTTAGAGCCGTAATCCGATAGCAAAGAATCAAGTGAACTTCGTTTCGGTAGATGAATTGGTACCAGGTTGGGATCAAACCGTTGTCTCCTACACTGGCAAGCTTCCAAAGTTCAGTTTTTGGGCTCCATAAGCATCAAAACTCGGCTTGAATGAAAGTCGAAATGACAAGCGCATCCTGGAACGAAATTGACCAACGCCAAGAAGATCTTATTCTTTCAAATGTACAGTATTACTTGTAGTAACTGGAAAGTGAAAATTTCCATTCAGGTTCTTCTGCCAGGAGGACACGGTGAGTCATCGCTTACTCCATTACAGTAAGTAAATAACTTCATTCCTCTACAGGTCTGTTATATCCTACTCTTTACTTTTGCTGCTGATCAGGAAAACATTTTTTTGTGATTTGCACAGGCTTCGTAGATGATTCTGAAATTATTTTAAAATAATGGTTTGTAATAACGTTCACTAACAGCGGAACAGCATTTCACAAAACAAGAACTTTTAATGGTAGCAATTGCCGCTTTATGAAATCTGGACACTATTTAGTAATGACCGGACTTTGCCGCAATTATACCCAATTATGAACAGTACGTTCTATCTCGATGGGATCCGAACCCACGCCATTACTTCCTTGGTATTGTTCTAACAAACTACACAATCGGAGATTTTTACACACAAAGTGATTAGTGCGAACATAAAAACCACTCAATAGTAACACCTTGCGGGAAAACGCCACTGTAGGGCCGAAGGAACTGTCCTCCACAAGAATGGGGACGTTGAACCCACTACCATTGCGGATCTCAGGCTTAAAATTACTATGTAACACATGGTCGGAGTAAGTAGCGTCTCTTGTAGCTAACTTCCTTCTGTAAGCTTACGGGACATCAACATTGACATCTATGTCTTCGAATTCGAAGCATTGTCCTGCAACCTTATCGTCGCTCATAGTAACATGCTTTTCTCTTTTTGAGAGGAACGAAAATTTACCAGAAGAATTGAAAGACCTCCCTCATTGCAGGAGCTAGCAGTACAAAATGCTCTAATGAACAAATGAAAGATGCGTGGAGACAGCTTGTTGTCAAAATGCACAATTTTCGCAGGTTTGTTCAACGTTTCCCACATCCAACTTCAGCTTTGTCACCTGCAAGAATAAATGGAAACATATTTTGTTTAGGGCGTTGTGAAATTCTTGTGAGTTTGTTAATAGTCGTACAGGAGACTATTAAACGACGTAAAGAAAAAGATTCAATCGGAGACAAACCAGGAAGAGGTAGAAAGGCCAATGTTTCCGAAGATAGGACTGTTAGAATGATCCGTATGGGAGTCGATCTTGATCCTGGGTGACCCATCAAAAGAAATGCAACGTGCTCGGCTTATCGGAGTTGTTGGATGGCAGAGTGTCGAGCAGATGTTTCATTGGCGTTCCTATCGTTTGCAGAAACCCCACTTCATTTCCGGTCTCAATAGACAGTGTATGGTGACAAAACACAGAAGGTTGTTGACTCGCCAACTTAAGACACGCATCTCTACTTTGCTTTCCCTAGCTAAAACTTTATACGAAAAAACCACTCCTCTACAAATAAAACTTTCATGTTCTGGCTATAAAAATCGAGCGTGAAATTCTTCTGAAAAAATGACCCACAAGAACAGTAAAATGATGTTTGTTGAGGGAGTCCCTGGCAAGGGTAAGACGCTCGCGGTTTCGTCGGTGCCAGCGTGAAAATTGACAGAATCCTGTGCTCAAAGGACATAGTGATGAACCTAATGAAGCGCTGATCCAATTTCGCTGCCTGGAACAGCTCATAGTCCTCCCAGTGGGAGGGTACTTCAGCCCACGAAGCCGAGCCCGCCCGGGAGTGGTGCTACGCTAGCTGCATAATTTCATTCGTAAAGTGGAGTAGCCATCCTGTTTTTCAGATCTTAATTCACTTGACTTCTCCCTATAGCACCTAAATAGGAGAGCACCTGTCGAGTTTACAGTCCCAGTTGGAGTCGTAGAAAGCAATGCTCAAAAAAAGTCTGGGAAGAAATGTAGAAGGATACTTGCGTGCAACATGAAAGGAGTTCGAGAGCGAATTTAGGACCTCTAACCACGCTTATAGAGGATATTTCAAAATGGGGAGTAGTATGTTGTAGCGCATAATATAAGCAAATGTGCATATAGATGCTATTGCCATTCTCAGCTGAGAAGCTTCGAATACATTGCTATGAATTGACTCCCAAAACTTGGGACATCCTGTACAAGTCAGCACTTTGATCTTTCCATACAGGGCTGATACCAAATGTCGAACCTCAATGGATGGAAAGCTTGGTTGTCCTGGGCAACTTTCGGTCCAGGCTTCGACCCTCTAACCATGCTTGTAAATAGTGCACCACGTACCACTACCCCACCTTCGCCTAACATAATAGACATCGAAAAAATGTTTTTCTCAGCCAACATGAATCAAAAAAGAACCTTTAGAAATGGTTCTTTGTGGGGTTTTCAACATTCTTTCGAAAGGCGTTTCAGATCACAGCTTGCAAAGCATACGATGATGAGAAAAACCAAATACGATTTCGACCCTCTAACCATGCTTGTAAATAGTGCACCACGTACAACTACCCCACCTTCGCCTAACATAATAGACATCGAAAAAATGTTTTCTCAGCAAACATGAATCAAAAAAGAGCCTTTGGAAACGGTTTTTTGTGGAGTTTCCAACAAAAGGTGTTTCAGATCACAGCTTGCAAAGCATACGATGATGAGAAAAACCAAATACGATCTACCAAAAGCAGGCAATATGATGGAACTGGTGAGGCTCAGCCAAGCCGTTTAGTCTTATTATTTCCCTATGCTCAGATAATTTCACTGTATTACAGACCTATGACTGTCAAATGGAAACCGACGCATTTCGGCATGCTAACAGTTGCTCGATTTCTCCGCTACCAAAAGGAAATGTTGCTGGCGTAAATATCACAAGCAAGAGTGAGGAATCATTTTATCACGGTATCAGGGAGGTAATCTTAGCGCTATATGGTATATGGTAAACTAGTAAAATGTAAATATCGGTATTGATATGGTTTCAGGCTGTGATGTCTTGGTGGAGGGTGGTGACGGAGAGTGGACCGACTAAGGATGTGATCTTCGAATCAAAATATGTCAACACATCAACCGCTTCCTTTACAGAGGCAGCCGTTTGATTTACAAAAAAAAATACTTTTTCGTAGCTGGGAATCCCCTAGAGTCCTTTTCCCCCAGATTGGAAGAGAGATGAATCAATATGCTCCCTGACTCAGTTGTACCAACATACATACATACAGTAGCGCTCAAAAGTCTTCGGTGCAATGCTTTGACGCTTTTTTGTTCATAATTTTTTTCTTAGTAGACCAAATCGCGCGAAATTTGGATATGTTAAACTAGATCATATTTCACCCTACCCAACGCTATTTGAGTGCAAAGCTGCA